GGGCAAGTCATCGCAATCTGCACTTCCGCCCTGATCCTGTTCGTCAGTTGATCGACGTGCAGTGCAGAGAGGCCATAATTGTGTATGTTCTAAAATACCAGCATTGTATCCGATCTGTCAAAATTCCCTCTTGCCTTGATAGCCAATCTTTGCGCCCGACCTGGGATGAATCTAATCCTTTCATTGTCCAACTCCTCTTCAATTTGTTTCTGTGTCATTTCTGGAAGTACGAATGCCACGCCACCTGCCGCATGCTCAGGAATCGATGCAACTATAGCCATACCCATTCGTCTCAGATACAGTTGAGACCTGAGCTCCTCCTTTGTACCATGGACCTCCTGCAACGCGACAATCGACATATTCTTGCAGAACTCTCTCAGCTTGTTAAATTTGTTGGTCCGCAACCCCATATCCTGATGTAATAGCGCCCGCGTGCTCCATGTCATGAATGCCAACTGTTGCGGAACGCCTCTCTTGAAGTCTTCTTTCCATACTTGCAGGGTCCGGATAAATCGACCATTGCACTGAGTCCTCGACCGCATTGAATGTAGCATTGGACGTATCCTGCAGCGCCTTCTGGTCCACTCCCTGCCACGTAAGTGCAGTCTAGTTCCATGGCAATCGGCTCTTGGACTCGAACCAGTCACCCGTCTGGACCGTAATCGTCGGCATGCTGTCGATGAACAAAATTCCCTTGGCCCTGTCATGCTTGATTATTTTGTTTGGTAACTGATATTTGACAAATGACGCCAGGCGTTTTGTTTGTACCTCCGTTCTGATTTGTCTCGCCGATTTGTCCAGACCCACAAATATTTTTGCCCGTCCACCAGGCACTGCATCCGTTTCAAATTGCCTCCAGTTCTGAGCGCCCCGCTTGAGTGCCCGTCGAGCCGCACGCACTTTGCGCTGTGCAGCACCACTGTTGCCGAGCATCTGTATGACATACTTCCTGCTTGGGGCTGTCACCAATGAGCTTATACTGGTTCTCCGCAACACCTGCCTCAGAGAGCCACTCAGAGAGCTCCGCATTGACCTTCTCCTTGCTGGCAATCTCCGACAAGCTCGCAATGAGCACCGCCGGGTCTGGCTGGCGATCCCACACCTGCATGTATTCGTAGTCCTTGGTCGGGATGGCCCTCTCTTGGCAGTGCAGCTCTTTCCGCATCTCCTCCATTTGCTTTCGCATCTCGTGCTGCGAGTGTTCCAGCACATCACTTCTTGCCTGAAGATCAGTGAGCTGGACCTGAACTTGCTGATTAACTGCATCCTGCCGCGCAGCGACAGCTCGGACCAAGCCCGTGGAGTGGTTCGATATCCCCGATATGATAGATGTCTTGATCGAGCCCAGCTTCGCTTCCACAGACGCGGATATTTCATCCTTGAACGCTTTGAAGAGGTCGTCCAGGGAGTTTTGCTGGTCAGGGGCCAAGACCCCCACGAGCGACTGCGGCCGCAGCAGCGGCGCTGCCGCCAGTGGGGGCCCCCCCAGAGGCAGCAGCCGAGCTGGCAGCCCATGGGTCCGCTCGTCCTTGAAGCGGATCTGCAGAGCGTTGACCAGCAGCAGGACGACGAGCACCAGCGGCCTGAGAGCTCCGATCCTCCTCCTCCGCAGGGGTACCTCGGACTGGTTCCTTTGAGCGTGATCTGCGTTGTTCTCCCGAGCACGAACGACCTTCGCCCCTGCCACGGCTCCGCTGCGAATCTCCCGCGGGAGCGGCGCCGTGAGGGGGCGCAGGCAGCCTAGGCGCGCTGGGGCCACCCGCGGCAGCGCCAGGCATGGAGAGAGCCCTCGAAGGGGCTCGGGCGGGCAGGAAAGCGGGCCGAAACGGCGCGGAACGAGAAATGATGATGGGCAACTGCAGCCAGAGCGAGGCCACAACAGGAACAAGATAATGGGACCCTATCCAACTCGAGAAACGAGGACGGATGGACCAAATCTAATCGCCACACCTCGGGTGCTTCACCCTTCGTTACGTTTAGACTTGAGCCAAAATGGCTACGGGCTCTTCCTCCTCCTCCTCCTCCTCCTCCTCCTCCTCCTCCTCCACCTCTTCCTCCTCCTCCTCCTCCTTTTGCTTCGCGCGGGGAGGGCTCGGAGGATCTGCGAGAGGCGCCTCCAGAGAAGGCGGCAGGCCCACGCCGCCCTCGGCGCGCCAAGAGGACGGGTGGGGGGGGCGGGGGCGGGCCGCAGCCTCGGAGGCGAGGGCGGTTTTCGCTCGGGGATGATCTGCGAATGGACAAGCGCGTTCCACTGTGAAGGAGCCCATGGGACACACAAGTAAATAGACACGAATACCAGGATATCCCACAGTCCCACCAGCCCTCTGGGCGTAGGTGGTCTAGAACAGATCCTCTTCCACCCCTCCCTTTTCCCCCTTGGGGAAGGATTTACCCCTCCCCCGACCCCCTCCCCTGGACCTGGACGGAGGGTTTCGCGAGCGGTCGGACGGCTCTTTTGGCCCCAAGATGGCTTCAAGAACGCGTCAGAAAACCCAAGATGAGCTCCAAGATGGCTCAAGATAGCGCAAGATCGCTCGAGATGGCTCCTAAGATGGTTCCAAGAGGCCCAAAAACGGCCCCAAGACGGCTCCAAGTGGCCAAAGAGCTCCCCAAGGAGGCCCCGAAGAGGCCAGCATCGTCCCACAACCTTAAGAAAATCAATGTGTTTTGTTTTCTCCCCGTTTCGCTTCCGATGGCCATCCAAGGCCTCAAGATGGCTCCAAGATGGCCCAAGAGGGCCCCACAAGAGGCCCAAGAGAGCCCCAAGACGGCCCCAAAAGCGCCCAAGAGCGCTCCAAGAGCGCCCCAAGAGCGCCCCAAGAGGCGATGTTTGGAGCTCCTGAGGGGGGAGACTCATTAGGGAGCCCCCCTTCGCTGATCGATCTCCGCCAAGATGGCCCCAAGAGCGCCCCTACAGCCCCCAAGAGCGCCCCAAGAGCGCCCCAAGAGGCGCCCAGACGGCCCCAAGAGGCGCCCAAGAGGACTCCAGGAGGCTCCCAAGAGACCCCCAAGAAGCCTCAAGAGGATCTCCGAAATGCATGTAAGACGCTTCTGGCTCTTCGGTTCGCCGTCCTCTTCAATTTCTCATCCCCCTCTTCCTCCTCTTCCTCCTTCTCCTCCTTTTCCTCCTTCTCCTCCCTCTGCTCCTTCTCGTCCTTTTCGTCCTCCTCGTCCTCTCCCTACTCCACATCCTCCTCCTCATTCTCCTCCTCCTCCTCCTCTTCCCCCCCTCCCCCTCCGACGAGGATTCCTTCTCCATCCTCCCCCTCTTGGGGTACGTGACAGCTTCCCCCGCCCCTTGTTATTTTGCATGCTCCCCGACTTCCCTGATCACCTCAACTCCCCTGGGCATCGTTTCTGGATGGGCTGGTGGGGATATTGTTTTGATCTGCGGCCCGCAAGGAAGAGTCCAGAGGGCGTGTCAATCGGGCTGATTGGGGCACAGAACCAGATAATTTGCGAACCCAGCCGTCACTGTCGACAGCCGACCGCACATGCAAGCATGCAGAGCAAATAAGCGGACTGGTGGGGAATTCAGGTACACGCATCTAAGCGTCGAGAAAGCGAGGAGTCGCCGAGACGGCGCCAGCGCAACACGACAAAAAAAACAGGGCCGGAACAAAGCGAAACCCGACAAAAAAAACAGCGCTGGTGGGGATACGCGAAGCGTCAACAATTTCCTATATGTCCTGGGTTTTCGTCTTCCCCCCACTTCCCATCTATTCCTATATCTTCTGGGGAATCGACGATTACTTGTGTCTGTGCGTTTGGTCCCCTCCTGAACTACTCGCAAAGGAACTGCTCGCAAGTGGCCTGAATCCGCCGCGGGGGACCCACGATATATCACGTAGAGGAAGACCTGTGATGTATGTTTGTTCCCGGACGCTTGCGAGCAGGCACTTTGCGAGCAGCGGAACGCGCTCGGCGAGCGAAGGGTGCCCTCAGAGGAGGCGGCAGGCCGACGCCGCCCTCGCCTCGCAGGGCCAGGAGGCATCTCCCGGGAGGTCCTCGTCAGAGCGGGGCGAGGGCGACGAAGCCCGAGTCGGGGCCAGCAGGTCGCACGAGGCTGGAGTCCCCCGGACCGAGCAGGAAAAAAACGGGATCAAGCCGGATCAAGCGGGATGAAACTAGGATGTATTGAGCCAGGTTAGGCCAGAGCTCGACCAACGCCGATTATGATGTTAGACTCCCAGGGGTTCCAACCTGAACTCCTGAAACGCCGCCCGCATCTCGAGGAATAGCGGAGACATGAAGGCACGAAGAAAAACAATGTCAATGCGACCACATCGAAAAACTAGATGTAGATACGGACAAATAGATAAAAGGAAGAAAGTCAACGTCAGTGTGAAGAAACGAAGAAACTACACTCTACATATGAGGCTCTGTTTGCCCCCGCTCCGTGATTGTTGGCATCTCACTTGCTCTTCCGAGGGAGGCTGCCTCCACCCCTCGCCCCCGCCCCGCGGACCCGCCGCCGTCGTCGCCGTTGCCGGCCGACAGCTGCCGTGGTCGCCGCCGCCGCTCGCCGCCACCGTTCTTGGGCGCCCGAAATGGGTACGTACAGTCGGCCCAGATTGGCAGGTCGGCCCTGCCAAATCAAGGGTACCCATGTGTCCTGTGTCTCGCGACCGATGCTTCCTACAGTTCCTGTGGCAATGTGGCCCTCGGAAGGGTCTTGAGTCTTGTGTCCTCTCGCGAGTCCTGTCCAATCGAGGCCGACTGTAAAATATGGGTGCTGTCCAGAACCGACAGCGGCCGCTGCTGGGCAGGAAGGCACACCGTCCGCGGCGGCGCGCACAGCGGGTCCTGTTCAAGAGAAGCAGGGGCTGCTGTTGGGCGTCGTGCCCTTCCTTTCCGTACCCATCTCGATCGTCCCGCACCGTCGTCGTCGTCGCCGTTCGCCGCCGTCGTCGCCGCCGGCGGCACCGTGGCCATCCGGCGTCGTTGCCGGTCACCGTCGGCTGTCGTCGTCGTCGTCCTCGCCCCTCGCCCGGCAAGACCACTAGCAGGTCGCCGCTGGGGGGCAGCTTGGCTGTGAGCAGGCCCTTGAGCTCTGGGAAGCCGATGGCGTACCACTCGTAGGCCTCACGGCCATGCTCGCCGTGGACCTCGGCGCCATACATTAGGAGCGGCCCGTATCAGAAGGATGCACCAGAAGGAGGAAAGGCGGAGGAGGAGGCGGAGGAGGAGGAGGAGGAGGATGCAAGGGCCTCGGAAGGCCACTTCGAAGCTCTTCGAGCGGGGCGCGGCCAGCGGAAGAGGCCAAGGATGGACCGAGGAGGCAAGGATGCAAGGGTACCCCTTGGGAAGGTTGCCCACCCTTACCGTGCGGGTCGGCTGTAGGAGCGACCCGGGGCCGCGGAGCCCCCCCTCGCGCGGGGGCAGGGAGGGATGGAATGAAGTGGATATCTCCTCCCTCCTTCCTCCTCCTCCTCCTCCTCCTCCTCCTCCTCCTCCCCCTCCTCCTCCTCTTCCTCCTCCTCCTCCTCTTCCTCCTCCTTCCTCCACCTCCTCCTCCTCATCCCCCCATGTCTCCCCCTTAGTCGTCCTACCATTCGTCCTTGTCCCACCAATCCTCGTCTGGGCTTACCGGGTTCCCTGAGAAGGCAATACCATATTGGCATGGGTGATACCTCGCCCTCGCTTCCCTAGCCGAGAATATGTTCGCCGACGGACCGTTTCGCTGACGTACCGTTTCGACAACGGACCGTTCTGCCTGGACCGATCGCCGTCGCCGTTCGGCGTCGTCGTTCGTCAGCGTCGTCGCTGTCGTCGCAAACGCCGCCATCGTCTTCGCCGTTCGGGTCCACCCGCTCGCTTGCGCGGAAGCCCGTCCGCTTTGATGTCTCACTCGCTCGTAAGGGTCCATACGCACGCCCCTCCGCTCGCCCATCAAGACCCGCCCGCCCGTCAAGGTACCGTCTTGCCGAACGCCGTTTCCGTGCTAGCCTGGTAGGGGCCCACCTGCCCGTTTTCCCCAATCCCTGAGTCAGGTCCGTGAAAGTGATCGCTATCACTCGATCTGGTACTTCACAAACCATCTGGAGAAACCATGGAAGGAATCAGCGGGAGCCGATTTGCCACCGAGGAATTTATCTTGGTCAGGGAGAGAGGTACGCCCGCTCAAATGCGTGACAGCCCGCCCGCTTTGTGCCGCCCGTCAGGGTCCGCCCGTCCGCCCGTCCGTCAGGGTCCGCCCGCCCGTCCGTGGGGGTGCGCCCGCCCGCATGTGTGGACCCTCCTGGCTACCCTCCACCTGGTTCCTCCTCGTCCCTCCTTCTGCTCGGCCTGGTGCTTCTATCTCTGCGTCCTGCCAACAGTCCCGCTCCATCTCCTGCTTCTGTGGCCGCCTGCTCCTCCCGATCCCCTGGCCTCTTCTCCGTTTGACCGGTCCTCCCCACAGGAATTCTTAAGCCTCCTGCTCATCCGCCTGCTTCTTGTCGTTCTCCACTCCGCCCGCCCCGTCCCGTTCTTTTTCCTCCACCGCACGACGACCACGGAGACGACGCGGGCCAGGACTACGACAGCAACGACGACGACCACGAAGCCCAGGACGACGAGTGCTGCGACTGCGAGCACGAGCAGGACGAGCACGCGCAGGAGGGCGACTGGACGACCGCGAGGATCAGGACCAAAACGACGACGACGGACGCAACGAGATGAGCGAGGACGACGACGGCAGGACGCCACGGACGACGAAAAAAACGTCGGCGAACAAACGACCGTCACGCGCTCGTCTCGCCCCCCCCTCCTCTTCGTGACGAGTACGGAGCATCCCCACACACCAGCGTTGAGCGAGCGAGTCTTCCTCGTCGCCACCCGCTTCCTCCCGGCCCACCCCCGCCGCCCCCAAAACCCAGACAACTAGCTGCTCCAGTCTCCTGGGGGCGCGGACCCCAAATTCGGAACACTTCCCCGGGACCGGTTCTTCTATCTGAACAGTTTCTAACGCTCCCGAGGCCCGGCGAGGGCGCGAGAACTGCCACAATCCCGCCGCCCAATTTTTTGTTGGAGCGTCGGATCTCAGCAGCGAGCCGCCCCCCCCGACCCCATCCTCGTCCTGCCCTCCCGTCGTCCTAGGGCACGCGGCCTGGTAGGTGCGGTCCCAAAAGGACTCGCTGCTCGCGCCGTCCTCGCGGTCGAGGAGCGACGGGCCGTCAGGGCGGTCCCCGGCCGCGGCGGCCGCGAACCTGCCACGGGGACGGCGACGACGGACGTGACGGCGACGAGGGGAGGAGGGAAGAGAGGGGAAAAGAGGGGGGGGCGAAGGGGCAAGGGGGGATGCCGCCACGACGGGGGACGAGGAACAAGAAGGCGGAGGACAGGCGAGGAGGACAAGGAGGAGCAGGAGAAAGACGATGCCGTGAAGGATTTCGGATTCCGAAGCCCCCGACCCGTCGCTCGGAACCCGCTGCGCGCGCCGCCCTTTGTACGCGGCCCGTCCCTGGACGGGGCTCCCCGTCCCCGAAGGATCGCACGGGGCCCCGCCGACGTTGGCGCCCTCTTCGGCTGCCTCGTCACTGGGTTGGCGCGATCCCGCCCCGACGCGTCGCGTGGATCCCGCTGCCGCCGATGCCCTCCTCAGCGGCCCGCCTTCCCGTGGGCGGTCTCGTCGGATCCCTCGGAACTCAAGGAGCTCGATGGAATCTCCGAACCGTTGTCCTCGTTCTCGGAGGCTGCCGCCATCATCTCAGCCGAGATGCGGCGCCAGCACCCTTGGCAGACCATGTGATACTCCCCCGGGCCTGGCACGACGTCGAAATAGGCCGCTTTCAGCGGCAACCTGCCGAAAAAACAACCACAGCCCCCGACTGCGTGGAGCTCGGCCACCTCCTGCCACGAGTCGAAGCCGCCTGTATCCACACCGGGCCAAGCGTGTAATTTTCACGCTGTGCTACTAGCAGCATCTCTGGCATCTGGCGCCCCGCTCCGCTAGCCCTCACGCGCCTCAGCGTCGCCGCCAGCCAGCCGTCCAGGGAGCCAGCTGTGGTCGTCGTAGCGCAGCACCGCCCACGCCTCGACGAGGCGGAACCACGCCACCTTGCGCTGGTACTTCGCGAGGACCTCGACCAGGATAAACAACTCAAAAGTCCCCATGACCACGCTGGGGAATCGTGCCGCCCTCGTCGTCGGGCCTTTGCAAGCACCGGAGAGCATCTCCACACTCACGACGACCTGCTGGGCCCCAGGCCGAGCGGAGAGTCTGTCATTCAGGCCCACGCCCGCCACGCGTTCCGTGCGTACCATGGGGCACAGGGCCTGGTCAAGCACCGTCTGCTCGCACGGGTCGGCAGCCCTGGGGTGCACGTGGTCGATGAAACGCACGGCCGGGTTGGGCCACGGGGCACAATGCGCGCGCAAGATTCACCTGCGCATCGCCTCCATGGCTCGCACGTTCGACCTGGCCATGCTGATGCGCGCGCGGCCCGTGATGCCGTCCTTCGCGCGTTCCGGGTCCATGCAGGACCACGCCGCCTCCAGCGAGGGCGCTCCCGTCCCCTCAAGCAGCATGATCGGGCGAGCTGTCCATCGAACCCTGCGACGACTCTCCTCCGCTGCAGCGCGGCACCTCCGCGCGGAGCGGGCTCCCGCAATCGCGAGGGCCCATGGCGGCGGCGGGGCCTCGGGCACCTCTCGGCTGGCCGCCGCCTCGAGGTTCGCCAAAGCGTCCTCCTGCATCTCCCGCTGAGGGCGGCCATGGAGCGCCCTCGACCGCTTCTGCACCAGCTCCTCGGCCACTGCCTGGTCCGCGAACTCCCTCAGCGGCAGCCGCGCCTCCTCCACGAGGAGGTCCGCGGCCGCCGTTCCGTGCACGAACGTTCCCTCGAAAGCAAGCTCGTCCGCCTGTAGGCGCGGGCCGAGGAGATCGCAGTCGTGAAGCACTCTGCTGACCCGCCGCCGCGCGGGCGTCGAGGACGCACGGCCCCAGGGGCCAGCCTCCTCTTCATCCTCCTCCTCCTCCTCCTCCTCCGCCTCCTCCTCTTCCTCCCTACCGGTTCGGATCCTGCGAACGGCTGAGCGTTTGAGCTCAAATGGGCACAAGCGTCGAGCAAAGAAAGAGGATACACTTTCGTGTTGGCACACGGGGTTCCTTTTCTTGCCCCATGGGCTGGTCACAAATAGTGGCGTCCCCAATACATCCGTAGTAGCAGACGCCAGATGCCTCGTTCACGTATGGTCACGCCAGGATCTTCGATCCGACGTAATACCAAAACATCCCGCAGCCTTGTCCAGATTGCGGGTGCAACCAAATCTGTTCCTATTGAGAGGCTCTTGTAGTCTCAAGTGCCCTGCGATCAGGCACGGACTTCATGTCGACATGGCCTTCGTGAAGGCCCGAAAGACCGTTCAATCTCTCAGTATCCCCCCGCGGCGGGGGCCCCGCCCCCCTTCACCGCTTCCCCTCCCCTCTCGTCGTCCTCCCCCTCATGCCCGTCCTCGCCTCGCCCTCCCCTGAGATCTGACAGCGCGAACACATTCAGCATGTCTCGAGCCGGATCGATGCGCCAGGGTCCCGGGCCCGAAACGAGGCAACAACGCCTGTGGCGAAAAGATCGCGGCGACAGGACCTCACGGGCCCCTCTGCGACCCCTCGTGCGAGGCCTCCTCCTGCGAGCCAGACTGCGCCAAAAACGGATCGCGCATTCTTTCCAAATGTCGGGGATATTCTGACCCAGGTCCATCCAGACCCGGGTCAGTCAGGCTTAGCAAGATCCATCAAGATCCTGCAGGATCCTGCACCCAAACCCGGGTCAATGCGACCCTGGCCCTGCAAGATCCGGGCGCTCTGGCTCGACTCTTGAGCCCCGAAAGTGTAGGTGGTGGTCACTTGCCGTGCTCGCCCCCTTACCCCCAGCTCCCAGCTTCCAGCGGTGGGAGGAGAAAGAGGAGGAGAAGAAGGAGGAGGAGCAGGTAGAGGGGGAGGGGGAGGAGGAGGAGGAGGAGGAGGAGGAGGAGGAGGAGGAGGAGGAGGAGGAGGAGAAGGAGGGGGGAGGAGGAGGAGGTGGTGGTGGTGCTCAGTAGTGGGCGCTCGAGTCTCGCAGTCTTGCTCGGAGCCCCTCCGCTGTAGATGGATGTATAGCCGCCTGGGCTTCCAGGCCGCCAAGGCCTGGGGCGAGCGCCGCGCCTCTCGGGCGAGGGCGCAGCCCCGTCAGCGGGGTGGGTCCCGCTCCCGCGCTGGGGGTGTGTAATGCACTCTGTGGAACAGTATTTCGCGAAGGAAGAGCCTCGAAGACTGCCCATGCAGCAGGGTGAAGCAGAGGAGGGCCCCCCTGGCCGCGGTGGTGCCCTCAGGCGCCAGTGGAACTCGCGGCGAATCACACTGCACCAGCAGGACCCTAAAGCAGCCAGGGCGACTCTTGTTTCCCCCACTCAGGGCGCGTCGCAAAACTCAAGAGGCTGCAGTACATATACACGTGACGATGCGCATGACATACACGAACGTGCATCACGCGCGCGCAACGCACATGCAGCTCCCCCCCCCGCCCCGCGGCCCTCGGCCCTCGCGGCGGCCCCACTCAATGTGGTCCGCGTCGGGCGCATCTCGCGCGTCGGGAGCCCCCCCCCCCCTCCCCCCGCGCTGCTAAACGCCGACTGAGAAGGAGAAGGAGGAGCAGCAGGAGGGGGAGGGGGAGTGGGAGGGTGGAAGGAGGAGGAGGAGGAGGAGGAGGAGGAGGAGGAGGAGGAGGAGGAGGAGGAGGAGGAGGAGACGGAGGAGGGAGGAGGAGGAGAGGAGGAGAGGAGGAGGAGGAGGAGGAGGAGGAGGAGGAGGAGGAGGAGGAGGAGGAGGAGGAGGAAGAGGAGGAGGAGGGAGGAGGAGGAGGAAGATATGGAAACCAACATGCGCTTAGTCAGAACCTGGCCCGCCCGCATCCGCCAACCAGCCGGGGCGAAGAAAACGACTGCGGCGGGCCCCTCGCGCGCGCCGCCAGCCGACGTCGATGACGACGACGACCATGACGTTGACGACGACGACGACCGACGATTGACGACGAAGACCGACTATGGACGACGACGTCGACCGACAACCGACGATAGTCGACGACGGCGACGAATAAGACGACAGACGACAACTAGGACGACCGATTCTTGGCGACGACGACCGTCGATAACCGACGACGACGATAACGACGACGAAGAAGGAGACGATTGCCGACTACGACGACGACCGACGATGGACGACCACGACGACCGACGATTGACGACCACGACGAAGACGATTGACGACGACGACGATTGACGACGACGATTGACGACGACGACCGTCGATGACCGACGACGACGAAAAAGACGATTGACGAAAACGACGACGACGACGACCGACGATTGACGACGACGACAGTCGATGACCAACGACAAGGAACGATTGACGACGAAGACTTGCGACGACGACGACGACGACGACGACCACGACAATTGACGACGACCGCGGCGGCCACAGCCGACCGCAAGCGGCAGCGGGGCGGCACCGTCCCAGCCAGGGCGCTGCCCAGCAGGCCGCCGCCGCGCCACGGCAGCGGCGGGGGCGGCCGCGCGCGCCCGCCGGGAGACTCGGCCTCGCCTCTCTATCGCTTTCCATCGCTCTCTCGCTCTCTCTCTCTCCCTCTCTCCCTCTCCCTCTCCCTCTCTCTCTCTCTCTCCCTATGTATACATGTGTAAAGTTAAATATGAATGTAGCGGGGGGGCGGAGGAGGAGGGGAGGGGGGAGGGAGGCGAGGAGACGAGGAGGAGGAGGAGTAAGAGGAAAGGGGGAACGAGGAGGCGGCAGGGGGGGAGGAGGAGGACGAGGAGGATGTTACAGCGTTTCTTCCTCCATCCCCCCTTCCTGGACCCCTCGGAGAAAGGGTTGATTACTGTTCCCTACTAATAGGCACCCCCTCCCCCAGACGACTGGCAGCCAAACAGGACCGATGAGGGCAGCCCATCCCTGCCAAGACTGTGAAATCCACTTTGGGGCCAAGTCGTGGGTCAGGATTGGGGGGGGGGGGGGGGGCGCGAGCACTGTGCCTCGTTGTTGATGGGGACGGCGCGGCGACCGCACGATGCCTGCTGCGCGCAGGGCCAGCATCCCTGCCAAGCAGAAGCATCACAGGCTGCACCTCGAGGCAAAATCTGGATCATGCGCGGGCGCCCCGCAATCACTGTGCATCGGTGTTCGACTGGGACGGCATGACTGATGGCATGCTGCCTGCGGGGTGCAGGCCCACCAGACGCGATGATGAACACCCCGCCGCGATTGCCCGCACGGTGACTGGCTTTCACAGCGTCGCCGAGGAAGCAGTCGGTGTCCTCGATGTAAACCTGGTGGACCTCCTGCCACCGGACTCTAGCCACTCTGCGCGTGAACCCTAACTTGGGCACCTGCGCGGCTGGATCATGGGTTACATTTGCGCACGATAGATCACGTGGTGCGCCTGGTCCATCTGGCCCACCCAAAGCGTGCCCGGGCCCTGTTCAAGCGAAAGGGGTGGCCGGGCGCACCTCGCCAGCGTTGGGCACACAGGGTCTGTTTGGATTAAATTAGCTGTCCATCCGAAAGGACCGCGTTTAATATGACTGCGGCTCGGGTGCTACTTAGAGTTGAGAGGGTGGCTGGGAGTGAGCGCGACGGCTTGCGGTCGGGAGGGTGTCTTGACCCCTCCCCCTAACCCCTCCCCATGGACCTGGACTTGGACGGGGCGTGTCGGAGGCTTGGAGCGTTCCAAGACAACCTCGGCGAGGCCAAAACACTGATGAATGACTCAGGTGTTTGGGCAGAGTTTGTGTGTGTGGGGAAGGGGCTAATTGGGAACCCCCCCAGATAAACGCCCGGGCAGGAGCCCAAGATACGCCCCGGAGGCCACCAAGAGGCCCCTAAATGTCCCCAAGATGGCCCTCCAAGAGCCCCCCCCAAGGCACCCAAGACGCTTCCCCCAGTGCCCGCCAAAGGCCCCTCCCAAGACGCCCCAACGCCTACAAGAAAGCTCTCGAGAAACATCCCAGGGACTCCGACAAGCATCCAAGAGGCTTCTGGCCGTCCTGTTTCGCCTCTGCGCCACTTTCTCCCTCATTCGCCTAGTCCTGCTCCTCCTTCTTCTCCATCCTCCCTCTGCACCCGACTCCTCTACCTCCTCCTCCTCCTCATCCTCCTCCTCCTCCTCCTCCTCCTCCTCCTCCTCCTCCTCCTCCTCCTCCTCCTCCTCTGGTTCCTCCTCTATCCTCCCCCTCTTGGGGTACGATGGTTACCCAACCTTCATTCTACTGCGTGCTCCCCCACATGCCTGACTAGGGCAACTCGACTGGGCATCGCTTCTGGATGGGCTGGTGGGAGTACTTTTTGGTCAGCGGCCGGACGAGGAGGGAGGTGGAGGAGGAGGAGGAGGAGGTGGAGGAGGAGGAGGAGGGAGGAGGAGGAGGAGGATAAGGCACTGGCTGGGAGCGGCCGCGCAGTCAGAGCGCCAGGGCCGCCACAGGAGACTGAAACAGACGCAAGCGTCGCCTCGGCCGTCGGTGAGCGGCCAGCCTCCCCCCCTCGGGTTCGCGGAGGTGGCCACGACGGACAAAAGCAGAGGCTGCGCGACGGGTCGGCAGCACGACTTTGGGCCAGGACCCAAACGGCCCCCCACAAACGGTGGGGGCCCGAACCAAGGACCTAGCCGTGGGCCCCTGGAGGCCCAAGGCGCAACCAGATGGCCTCGGGGTCGTCTACTCGGAGGGGTCGCGGCTGTCGGATGGCACGTCCGTTCGGACGGCCCTCGTCAGCAGGGTGACGCCTCTCGAGAAATAACTTGCGATTGCGCGTCGCCCGCTCAGACATGAGGTCAACGCGAGGCGGGGGCGTGCAATCAATTAACAGGTGGCCTGCCAGGCCTGAAGTAAAGAAACCACACCATATGAACAAGACCACCTCCCCTGGGGACACCCTGCACCTATGCCCCCTAGCCGATTCGGGCGGGACGATGCCGCTGGTAGGCATGGGGGCAACAGGCACTGTGGTGGCAGACAGGGCGGGGCGGGGGTTGCGTGGGGCTGCCTTCTGCCGCTTGGATGGCATGAAGGCAGGCCCGTCACTATCTCTTCCCTCGACTCGCTGGGTCGCCCGTTCCTGCTGCTCCTGGGCAGGCGAGCGGATCAACACAACAGGATCAAAGGACACACGTCTGCGGACACGGCGGCCATCACCCGAGGACGAGGACCCCCTCCCACCCTCCAACTTATGGTGGTGGTGGTGGTGGTGAAAGACAAGCCACTCAGGCAAATCCCGGCACTGCCCCCTGGCAGCCCTTTTCCTCCGACCTCAGCCTGCGCCGCGACCTGCCGCGGCCCAGCTGACGGGGCAGCAGCCCCGTGACGGCGGCGAGCCCTTGGGGGGGAAAGGAGAATTGGGCCAGGCCCTCTCGGAAGGCTCGGGCGGCCTCGGGCCCTCCGAGCAGTTGTCTGAGAGCCTTCCCCGAAGGCACAGAGAGCGTCTCGGGAGGCGCCAGGGCCTTCTCCCTCGCACTGCCCCCCCCCTCGCTCGCCGCCGAGCAGATCAAGCTCAAAACCTCCTGCCCCCCATTCGTGACCTCGCGGATGCCCTCCTCCCGCGGCCCCCGCCCCGAGGTCGCGCCGAGCGCGCCGCAGTGAGAGCGGAAGCAGACGCCGTGCCCTGCCCTCTCGGGCAACACGTCCGCGCGGTGCAAGGCGGCTTGCGCACCTGCGCCTGGCTGGCTCGGCTGGGGGGATCTCGGAGCTGGCCGGATAGAACTGGCTGGATGGTCGCGCGCCCGTGCGACGTCGTCTGCGCGAAAAATCGGCGGGCTCGTCCTTGCATGGGTAATTGCGAAGCGATTTGCTTGCGCACAAGTCCACTCATTGTCCAGCCGAGCCCAACGGAGCGCGCTGCTCACGACTGCGACCTCCTCGATTGTGGGCCAGGTCCCTTTTGCCGCGAAGGTCACTCTTCTGCGTGCCCGTGAATCCCCGCCCGCGCCATCCGGAGCAGCGCGCGAACCGTCTTCCGAGCCCTGCCCAACTCACGCCCCACTCGCCGGTCGGGCGGAAGCGCCTGCCCGACTCGATCACAGGACTGATGGGCCTGTTTTCCACCACCACCTTCCATAAGTTGGAGGGGGGAAGGAGGAGGAGGAGGATGAGGATGAGGATAAGGAGGCGTATGGTGGTGATGGCAGGAAACAGGCCCATCACACAGGATGCCTCCCGCAGCGATGGCAGCGAGAGCGCCCGCGAGCCCGCTGCCCGTGCCGAGGCGCTCCTCGACAGAGCCCGACGTCGTGCTCGCCTCGGCGGGCGGAAGCCCACGACCACCTCCGCCGCCAGCGGCGGCCGGCCGCCACCACGGCCTCACCGCGGGTCTGCCTGTGGCGTCAAGGGCTCCCCCCTCGAAGGCCCAGAGGAGGAGAAACCTCTGGATCTACCAGGGGTCAGAGGAGGTCTCCAAAGTTCTCCAGTGAGTCTCTCGAGAGCTCCCTCGAGAGGAGGAGGAGGAGAAGAAGGAGGAGGAGGGGGGGGAGGAGGGGCAGGAGGAGGAGGATGAAGGAGGAGGAGGAGGAGGAGAAAAGGAGACGCAGGAGAGGAGGAAGAAGGCGAGGACGAGGAGAATGGAGGAGGAGGAGGAGGAGAGGGGAGGAGGAGGAGGAGGAGGAGGGGAGGAGGAGGAAGAAGGAGGAGGAGGAGGAGGAGGAGGGGGGGGAGGAGGGGCAGGAGGAAGGAGGCGAGGAGGGAGAGGGGGAAGTGAAGGAGGAGGAAAAGGAGGAGGAGGGGAGGGAAGGAGAGGAGGAGGAGGAGGAGGAGGAGGAGGAGGAGGCGGGAGGAGAGGCAGGAGGAGGAGGGGAAGGAGGAGGCGGAGGAGGAGGAGAAAGAAAGGAGGAGGAGGGAGGATACGTTAGGATACGGAGGAAGGAGACATGGGGGGGAGAAGGAAGGGGTGGGGAGGGACGTGGAGGAAGAGGAGGAAGAGGCAGGAGGAGGGACCACGAGGAGGGATGGAGGGGGAGGGGCCCCTCCTTCCCCCATCGCCCCAGAGGGACGCCGAATCTCCAGACCGCTCCCTGCGGCCCGGACTGCCCCGCCATGCGCGGCCTCTGCGCGGAGGGGGGCGAGCGGCGCGATCGCGGGGCCCAGCTGCGCCACGGCTCTCGGGCGCCGCGAGGGGCCGCGGACAAGGAGGGAGGCCGGGGAGACGAGGGCGGAGGGGAGGAAGGGAGGGAGAAGCAAGGCGAGGGAGGGCGAGGAGGTGGAGGGGAGAGAAGGCCGAGGAGGTCGAGGAGGGAGGGCAGGGAGGGGGAAGGGGACGAGGAGGAGGAGGAGGAGGAGGAGGAGGAGGCGTGGGAGGAGGAGGAGGAGGAGGAGGAGGAGGAGGAGGAGGAGACCGGAACAGAGATGCATCAACGATGCTGCAACACAAGCTCCCATCACCAGGTCCCCTCCCCAGAAGTCCCTGAAAGCGCTAAGTTTAGGTCGGGCATGTCCTCCTTCAGTCGGATTTGGGAGGACAAACGAAAAATACTCAAAGCATGCTGAAACATGGTCAGACATAGGAATCACGTCTTCAGACTATATGTGAAATACTCTGAGTATCGTTTAACCGATCCCCATCCCCAGCGGCGTGGCCTGGGCCCCACTGGCCGATTTACCCCCCTAGATGAGGATATAGGTCGCATCCTTCAACGGGGGGGGAAATCTGGGGAGGTCTCGAAGGGGATGGGGATGGGGATGGGGAATGGTGAAACGATACCGATACTCCTGCAGGCGGATTTGGGAGGACAATTAAGAATGGTCCAAACATGCTCAACAAAGGTCAGAACTAGGAAAAAAAACGCCCCCAGGTGGAGTACTCT